CCCCAAAACCCCAAAACCCCAAAACCCCAAAACCCCAAATGGGTTAAAAGCCTTGAATAAAATATAAAAACACTAAATATGAAAAGCTATGAACTGGCATTGTTCAGCATAATGTTACTCTTAATTTATAAGCAACTCCATCTTATTATCTATAAAACTTGCAGCAAAAGATTGTTACTGAAAACTCTTAATTTTCAATTATATAACCCAAATTAATAGGCTGCCTTAAGATAAGCTACAAAGCTACTTATTAAAGTTTTAGAAGACTTTACAGTTTTTAGCTGAATAAAATGAGGAACAATCATTAGTCATGAATTTAAGCTCCATCTATTATTTCTACTTCTTCGAGTTGAATCTCTGTCAAGATTTCTTGAGCTTCACTTTGCTTTATTTCACATTTCCAAAGGTCTATTTTCCTGAGGCTCTTCTTTAAGTCTGGAGAAGTTGCAAAGCATTGTATCAAGTTCTTGAACTCGTCAGGGTGGTCTTTCCAATTGCTGCAAGATTTGGCTCCTGTTTTGCCTAAACTTATTGTCTGAATTTTGCAATTCTTAAGAGACGTTGAGAAATCATGAACTGTTGAAATGGACAACTTTCATTCGTAAATGCCCAATTTTTCCACATGTCTGTAAGCTGCCACTAATTTCTTCAGTTGGCGAAGGCTAAGGCAGAAAGAATCAAAGGCTACTCTTCTTGTTACTTTGGAGCTGATTCTGATGAATGAGTTGAGGTAAGTAGTTCTATTCAGTTGCATTTCAAGGGAAAGAGAAATATATAACTCATTAGTCTTATTAGGGAAGGAAAAGTCTATGAAATTCATAATATCCTTAATTTCTCTTCTTTCCAATATATAATCAGACCTCTTTTACATTGACGAACTTTAGAAATTTAATTTTTTTCGTAAATTTCATATAGCCAGGAAATTTAAAATACATTTTAAGCTTAAAGTCTGCTCAGTGTTCACCAGATTCTAGACCGGGTTGGCTAATTTTAATTCTTCTTGAAAATGTATTGTAGTGAATACGGCAGAATCTCAGCCATTGTTCCTTGATACTTTTGACCAGGATGCACTTCTCTAGACTACACAATTAGAGATATACCAAGACGTCAGATTTATGTCAGAATTTGGGAATTAAATTGGAGGTAAAGCTTTAAATGAGTCTGTTATAAAATAAAATACAACTCCGAGTTTGTGTGGTGCAAGAAGCGTAATAGAGAGGGCAAACAAGAAGATAATCGGCAAAGGAAAGGTGTTAACTTTTTCTGGGATTTGAAGTATTATTTTAACATCAGCATATTGTAATGAGGTTTAATTGAATAGTGCAAAATTTGAGTATTAATTTGAAATTTAGAGTGTATTTGAGAATAGCAAACTATTTTTAGGTAGCATTGAGATTTTATGGGGATAATTGAATTGGACTTGTCACTTGAGATCTAAGCTTCTACAATAAGAGAAATTTAAGACCTTGAAGACAGAAATCCTTTCGGAAATTCTCTAAATATGATGAATTATTTAAATTTGGGTTTTTATTTTAGAGTAAACTGGAAATTTATTAAATTTACCTGATCCTCTGGTCAAGCTTTTCCTGAGTAATTTGATCTTCACTTTCCATTTTATTATTATAATTTAATATATTCTATTTCAATTTATCTCCAGAGGGCTGGGGTTTTGGGGTTTTGGGGTTTTGGGGTTTTGGGG